TTTTCTGTCATTTCCAATATCTCTAAGAGAAACCGTTGGGGTGAGTCTGCAGTGGCAAACAGTCCGATTCGACATCTGTGTTTATCCTCCAGCAGAAAACCAAACATGCTATATTTACTCTGGCCAAACAGGCAGAAGCAGAGAGCAGAGAGCAGAGTGAATGAGGGAGAGAGAGAGATAATAAGAAACTTCAGCAGCTTTAGGGATATTTCTGGCCTAGTTAATGAACGTCATAAAAGCAAGTAGTGATGTCACGCTGATTACCTACCTGAGAATATAACCCAGAGAGAATCCTAAAAGTCATTATATGCAGTTATTAAGACAGGTTGTCATTTAGTGCAGTCAAATTACTCACAAATGTACTGTTCATTTAGTAACCGAATTAGAAAACCTTGTGGTCTGTATAACTGTTGTCCATTAAGGTGTGTACTGATCACTGTGATGATAAAGATATTTTAAACTTACTCTTGAGTCTTGGCCTACATGAAATTCATTTACTTATGGTTTAAATTATTTGACCTGACTGTTACACATAAAATTATTCATAATTTTGTATCCTTAAGGCTAAGTAATTGACAGAATTTTCATTTTTGGGTGAACTGAACTTTAACTAAGGCTTAAGGATACTTCGATTTTTACGCGTGAAGGTGTAGTAACACTAGACTTTGAGCACACAAAATTTCTACGGACAGCACAACTTGTGATATGACGTTTCTTTTTTATAAACATGAATTCAACACATGACAAAAAGATTTACATTCTTTTAATTTATCCAAGAGGTCACGCTGTGACGGATCGATCTTCTACTAGTCATGCTATACAAATTCGCAGGTCAGAGTTCACCAAACATTTCGCATAAAAGCTTCCGTTTCCGGTCTGATGCATTCGTATTCGTATGAATGGAAGTCATTGAAAGGAAAAGTGTAGTGTGCCCACCGCTTGACGCAAATTCGGTCAAACAACAACAAAATACTGGAGACTGCAACCACAACAGATGCCCACATTGACAAGCGCTTGTGTGAGGGGGTTATGAGATTTAACTATAGTTTAAAAGACATTTCTATCCGTCATAAGAAAAACAGCACAGAAACCAGACAAAGATGACATTTTCTAGAGCGCGTGTGTCGACCGCATGTGTTCACGCACAATCAAATGGAGTTGGAAGGCTACGCGTTCGACTGTGCGTATACACTAGCCATACGGAAAAAAAAAAGTTTCTTGGCCCATGAGTTGTTCGTTTTTCTCTCAATCTGATAACAATGACACATTAATGGAACTGAAGAGTAAACAAAGAGAACCCTTGCAACCAATCAGCCATGTTTGCAGAAGACAATGCCGCCACCACCTTAAAAAAACCTACAAGGACTCAAATGACAATTTGCGAATCCTTCAAACAATCCAGGCCTATACTCTCAACAGGGTTTGTCTATTCAAAACCATCAACTTATCAATAACTTTAAACAGCAGACTGCAAAAGGCAGTGTATGTGATTTTAAGAAGCTTTTCTGGTTAGTTGATGGAAAAAGAACTTGTGAATTCCCAAGAACTTCAGCTATTCCTGCGCACACAGATATATTGCTACTTTAGAGGGCACGTTACTGAAAACTGGAGTTTAGCCTAACACCTGGAGGCACTTACTTGAGATTTACAATGGCATTCAGCTCCTCACAAAAATACATTTTGTCTTAAGTTATTACCTGAAAGAAGAATCTGCTCCAAGCTTGAGTCTATTTTTGTGTGAACGGCAGCAGTGACTGATGTCCACGCTTGTCCATAAAGAAGCCCCTCACTGTTCTTTGCTTCACATACCATGAGAACTGAATTTGGCCAATGGGACTGTTATCAGATACATTCATGTGATTGAATTAGCCTCAGAGAGGAAGGACTAAAATAAAACCTCAAAATTCCAGGCACGACAGTCTGGTTCTCTAATTTCATGTGGTTTAACGTGGTGGTATGGTGGTGTGTGCAATGGTGAAGCCATCTGACTTCCCTTTCAGTTATACTGCATGACCTGCAGTGGAGTTAATAATATTCATAAAGCACTTAAAGAGATAGTTTAACGAATTCTGCCATTATTTTACCCTCAACATATTGACAGTCAAATTTGTATGACTTAATACCTAAAGCAGAATCCACATAGCCAGATCTTGAAGGAATAGTTCACTTTAAAAAAAAAAAAACTTTTCCTGATAATAATTTCCTCAACCCCATGTCATCCAAGATGTCCATGTCTTTCTTTCTTCAGTCCAAAAGAAATTAAGGTTTTTGATGAAAACATTCCAGGATTTTTCTCCATATAATGGACTTCAATGGGAACCAAACGGTTCAAGACAGGTCCAAAAGACAGTTTTAGTGCAAACTGTTCAAAGGGCTTTAAATGCAAAAACCTTAATTTCTTTTCGACTGAAGAAAGAATGACATGGATATCTTGGATGAACATGGGGGTGAGTAAATTATCAGCAAATGTTTTTTTTTTAAAAAATAAACTACTCCTTTGAGACTGACAGCAAAAGATCTGGACTCCAACACAGCTTTCATTGGCCAAGGAAGGACCAAGCAAGAAGGACTTCAGACCGAAAGCAACCAATCACAGCATCATGTTTAGGGGCGAGAAAATGTAAAGACGATATCCCCATAAAAAAGCCAAAAGCATGCACTTAATTTAAGAATGTTGTTCAAGTTTACTGCAGCAGTGGTGATTCTTTTAAAAATCTAGCGTTTTTAGTTCACGCTCATTGTCACATCGCTTATTGGCGTCATGACGGCTTTGTTTCCAAGTGGACCGCTAAAGAACATGATAATACGCTTTCTGGAAATTTCAACCAATCAGATGATGACTTCAAAACTCCCAAAGTTTTTTTCCCATATGCATCAGACACTCCGCATTTATTGCATACAATTTACCCTATAAAGCTGGGATAGGCAACATCAGTTCTGGAGCGCCGCTGTCCTAAAGAGTTTAGCTGCCTGTAGCCTGTCACCTGTGCCTTAGTAATCCTGAAGACATTGATTAGCTTGTTCAGGTGTGTTTGATTAAGGTTGGAGCTAAACTCTGCAGGACTGCGGAAGTCCAGGACCAACTTCGCCCATCCCTGCTATAAAGTCTACTTGTTTTATATTTGAAATATTAGGCCATGTTTACACAAAGCCGGGTATTTAGAGAAACAAATATTTTCCCCCTCTCTGTTTTCAATAATAACATCGTGCGCACACCCACATAAATATGCTGTCGAGCGCTATCATATCTATGCCAAACCTATGGGCGGCAGTGTAGGGAGAAGGATAAAACCGTGATGCAAGCCAATCGGAATTCTCAGAATCGACAAGAGAGAACCTAAAACGCTGTTTCTCCCAGTTGACACGACAACACATGACCAGCGTTCTCAGAAATCTCCACTTTGCCCGGAGTTTTTAGAAATAATCGTTTTCTGTGATAAAAACGGCGTTTTCGTGTAAATGAGAGGGCAAAACGCTGAGAAATATCTGCGTTTTCCCATCGTGTAAACGGGGCCTTCATTTCTAAGGTTTCTAAATTATCCGATTGTTCTCAATATACTAAAACCTTTTGCCCTCTTATTGATGGTTCATACTTTTTTGCAAGTAAAAGGCCTTTTAGTGTAGTTTTAAAGATGTCCATCTTAAGGTTGTGGTGCATGTGTCTTTTTGCTGTGAAATCGTTTCTGATTTTTATAAAGCAAAGGTAATAATAATACTACTTATTTATGTCAAATATGATACAACAAGCTTTTGAGGAACATTTACTTTTGTATTGCATTCCTTAATGAACACAATAAATAAGCTTTTATCATAAACCTACCCATTTATACAGTTATAAAAATCTCATTGGTTTACCTTACAAGCTATCAAAATCCCATCTACTTTTTTGCCATATAAATAACTGCACTAAAATTGCATATTTTGAATACAATTGAGTGTGTGTGAGCTCCATATTCTCGCTTTATCATACACTACATGAACCATAAAAGATACAGAACATAAATCACATTTGCTTTTTTGTTAGATTTTGTCAGCAGTTTCAAAAACATATGGTGACAGAGACTTAAGCTTTGACTCTACAACTTTCGTATTCCACAAAAGTCAGTCAGTCGTACAGGCTTGTAACAAAAAAAGAGTGAGTAAATGATAATAAATAAATAAATTCTAGCTGAACTATTCCTTTATTCCAATAGTGACACAAACCACCTGTTGTTATTAGGATTATGACAATACATTTCAAATGGTTTTCTGCCATAACCAAAAAAACATCTATCCCAATAATACACAGAACTATTACAAGTGTGACACATAAACCACCTGTTGTTATTGGGATTATGAAAATACATTTTAAATGGTTTTCTGCCACAAGCAAAATACATCTACCCAAATGATACACAAAACTATTACAAGTGCTAAATACCAAACTTAAAACTCACACCAAAACGCGTTTTTATTCATTAACAAACTGCAAAGCGACATTTGTACAGTGGGATATTGGCTACTGGCCTTTTCAGTTGGGTCCTTCAAGCAAACATGTGTTGAAATTTTACGAGCAAGAGCAAGTAAGCACCAATCTCCCCTCACCAACAACCAACATTCATTTTAAGAAGCTTCAAGACACATTAACTTTCTGTAAGAACAAGGGCACCATTGTGTGAAAAGTGTAGTCTCACTATTGTTGAATGGCCTTAGTCCAGGTGAGTGAAAACTACATAGTGCTGACGCATGCGCGCTGACTGATCAGGAAGGACTAAAGCGTTTATTATTCGCTAACGTTTTTCCACTTAATGAAAATACAGTACAGTGATCCCAAATCCTGCACAATGACCAGCTCTTGCTTCATAAAAACCACCACTGCCCACTATATGCTCGTGTACATAATAAAGAAACATGACAAAATCTGAAAGCTGTCCAACGGCTCCCGAGTTTTACTCGCCACTTCGCATTGTTGATTTAAACCTGATCGTTAAAACTAATTATCCCCGGTAAACGTCTCTTACCTTATCCGATCCGGGAACGCGTGAGGGGAAAACTTCCCTAAATTTCCCTAAGGAGACATGTGTAGTCCGTAAAACGTCTCAGAAATCCTGTGGATATTGTCGCTCCAGCGCCGTTCGCCAACGAGGAATTCTTCTTGGCTCCCACATTCGTTATTCCTCTTCCTCCCAGCCAACCGAAACCACGACGCCCGGCTGCTACTCGCGCACACACATACGACACTGCGCATGCGCGGGCTGCATTCACAAGTGTCTGTCTGTAGTAAGTAACATATGAAAGAGAGCGAATTCCGCAATGTAACGTGAACAGCGATCTGTAATGTAGCATATAGTTTAATTCACAATAAACACAACACGAATGCACTAAATACACATAAAATAACTCAAAACATATCGCATTCATAACCACGACACATTCTTTCTGGCTTTCTTATTTTATTTATTTATTATTTCTCCAAATAAAACAAGGACTGTCTGGAAATTAGTGAAATGGGGGTTACGCTTCTCGTCTTTGTATTATGAATATAATATTTCCCTTTTAAAAAAAACATAAATAATGTAGATTTTCCTTTCCATTTCCATGTTCATATCTGCCACATGGTTAACATATTTAGAAGCAACTTGCATTAAAACAGTAAATAGCCTACTACAGCACGAGTTGACTGAATGGGGAAACCAATATATAAAGACAACGTAATTCGGATGTAAATGACACTTTGATTGTATTGTACTATAGCCTACAGCAGCACAATAATGATGAATGACTGCATCCTGACGTCAGACTGCACTGCAGTGTCATATCTTTTCGGGTTTTTCAAAGCATTTTTGTAAAAGATGATACGTGCAACAGAAGCAGATTTTCGGTTGTAAAGACAATCCTTTTTTCGAGGGCTCCATAGTATGACACATATTTAGATCCACAGTAGGCTATACGTTAAACTTAGCAAGCAGATTTTCGTGTGGTGTATAGCACACCCTTGTGGTCACTCAACACCATCTTCTCTTAATAATTCCTTCAATATTATCAATGTTCACTATCTTTGCAGAATCTTTTTAAACCAAGAAAAATATGTTGCTAGAAATGTTGCTACACTACTTGTTATTAAGTGCAACTAGCTTTATAACCAGCTGTTTTTTGTGCTTAATTTTATATTTAATAATAGTATTCTGGTTATGACAACTACCCTAATGTTATATGAAAAAAGTAGTGAACATAGTTATATGATTGAAAATAATTTCAAATGGAGAGTCGTGTTTAAATGTGCCAGGCAGCCTTAAAAGCCTTAAAATGCACCAAACTGATGTTTAAATTCCCATAAGCAAAACATTTAAAGCAGCTCAGTGAATTTGCATGTCCATGAAAACACACGTGGAATGCCATCATTCTTCTATATAAACCAGGTTTTTAAATGTCTTTAGATTGATTAGAAAAATCGAAATATTGTCTTCATGCAGACTGACGAGATTCTTAATAGAACTGAACACATGTTCAAATGCAAATAAGTGCCATGGTATAAATTACATTGATGCAAAGGTTGATATCTAGTATTGCTTTATTAAAATCACTGTCTGGCTTCATGTAGGCTATTGAGAATCATGTATAAGTTTTCAGTCCTCTGAAATTATGATATATGTCCTATATTCAACTTCTACCATTAATCTTAACACTTATTTGCTCCATAGATAGTGTAACCTGTTGTAGACCAAAGCGTGACGGAGAGAGCAGGTAAATGATTGCACAACAGCTTCTGTTCTCTGTTCTGACAACACAACCAACATCAAATATGTTAGTATGGCAAACTGAAAGTGTTAGAGAACAGCAGGACCTTATGGCACGACTACAAGAAGCCAGAAAGAAAAACTGCCATTAATGTGATCCAGAATCTCACCAGGGGGCAGTATGACATAATGGAGCAAAACTGTTCTCTTTAAGTACATGTTGTGCAGGTCAGCCATTCAACTGCACTGCATTTCCACCTAAATATATGACAATAAAGATTATAAAGTGATATGCCTAATGATTTTTAATAATCCCAGTCTAATTCCAGACTAAACTGCTTGTCTCAAGATGCACACCAGTAAGGATTTTTCTAAGGCAAATTTATAAATAATAATAATAATAAAACCTACTTAAATGCCCTAATTGAACAAGGCCTAATCCTGGCTTAATCTAAGCCATGACTGTTATGTTTTAATGTTTTAAGGGGATTTTCCATACATAATGATTTTTATACTGTACATTCTATTGCCTTTCTCTACCCCTAAACATATACCCATGACAGAAAACGTTCTGCATTTTTACATTTTCAAAAAACGTCAATTAGTATGATTTATAAGCTGCTTTCCTCAAAGGAACCAAAAATAACCAAGATTTATTGCCACATTTCACTCACTCATGCACACACTTTTATTATCTATAAAAATATTTTATATTAATGTCCTATATAATTATAGAATTGACCATTTAATTGTAAATTGCATAGGCTATTAAATTATATTATCATAATATCATTACATTATTATACTATATTATTATATATATTATTATATTATATTATATTATCTATTTTATAATATATTATCTGGCCCTGATAGGTCACATCCACTTTGCATACACTATAAACTCAATTTCCCAGAATGCCCTACTGTCCTCCACCCCCAGACCAGCCGGTGTATTTGGATACAAAGTCAGCCTCAGGAGCTGACAGCTCGGTCCATGGAATAGATCGTCTTTCTCACAGATAAAGGAAACGGTGGTAGAAACGATTCGATTGAGATGGACGACAGGACGACTATCTGACCCAGCTGGGAGAAATATTACAAGAGCATCCTTCAGTGGAATTCGATGATGTGTAGGCTACAACATATGGGAATATTTCAGCATTATGATACGCCCATGCGACGGGCTGTGTGGATGTTGTGATGTACAGTGAACGATCCAAGCAACCATAAACATCTGAATTCCGAAAACCGGTTTTTGGACGAATATAGCCTACTTTCTCACTGATCTCTGGATTACAAGAAATATCGTTGCAGAATATAGAAAGGAACTAGGTGGCTTATCATCATCACCATTATTATTATTATTATTATAAAGATGGTGGACGCATCTTGTGCTGGCTTTTATTTGGGCAACATAAACACATTATTGAGAATTTCGTCGCCTAATCGCTACGACCTGGATACAAGTAATCTTTATGCAAGCCATTCGCATCACTCTCATTCTTCATAGAATGATCTCAATATCGCCATATCATAATAATCCAATATAAAGCCGAAGTTCCGTTTAAGCTTATCACACATTTCTATTTATATACGCAACTGACTCCAGCTTTATGGATCAACTGCTCGATGACAATAAAATGTGTAGTGTTAAAATGACAATCATGGAAAATGAGGACTTGATGAAATAAGAACTTGCGCTACATAGAAATAACAGCGAGTTGCTTTTGTTCATGACTTGAATTAAATTGCAAACAGTCTACGTGAAGTAGCAGCTATAGTAGGCTAACGTTTATTGATTCAATATTAATCCGCCTTTCCAAATATGCTAAAGGCTAAACGGGTAGAATATATTATGTATGTCGAATAAATCTAATGACAACCACTGCTCTGCCATCTCTCTGTTGTGATTCTCATCTTAAAATGGACGCGCGCTTTCCTTGACGGCAATTTTAGAGACTTGAACTGTCTTGTAGAGTTCGCAATGTACCGGATTTACACGAAACAAGAGAAACGTGAAGTGAATATTACGAATGTGCAAATAATTGTGGATGCTTTGTGATCGCGAGCAGGCGCATCCCTGTGAGCCTATCAGAGCAGAATGTCTGAAGATGCCCTAAGTTCGCGCATGCATGTGTTTAAGGCTATGAATATTCATTAAAGTCCATTGCAAAGAGCAACATCGATGTACATTTACAAATATGAGAGTTTTACATGGATCGGATTTACATAGATTAGAGGTTACGACAACATTCCAGAGATTTAACACCTAGATATGTGATGTAGGTCAAATTATCAGAAGACTCATCTAGTTCCTGTTTTATCCTGTAGTATGATATTATTTTAGTTAAGGATTCTACTGTTACAAGGGGAAATCAAGCAAGGCCATCAGTGATTCTTCTAATGGAAAAGCCCAATGCTGCTCAAGCAACCAAAAAGAAAACATTCTTACGTCTTGACGGACTGGACATTCTCATCTAATCTCATTGACTTTGGATCTCAAGTTTCCCTAGAAAAAAACTTGTATTGTGGCCTAATGCAAAACTCTTATTCAGAATCATTGTCCTAGTCATATTAGAGCTGTAAGCATACATTGACTGACTACAATGGCTCTATAAATGTTAACACGCACACAAAGTGTGTTGTGGACAATCCAAGCAACCATTGAGGACAGTGAAGCCCAGCAAAAGCTTTACTCATTGTCTTACTCACTTTCTTCCCTCATCAATCAGGCCTGCACTCAGTAGATGGGCTCTGCATGGATAATAGGTGCAAGTTGACAGAGGGCCTCCTCCAGCTTTTGAGACCTCATCGCTGACCTGTGCACTCAGTGATGGACCCATATACAAGACTGAGTGGAGTAGGAGCTGGAGGTGGTGGTAGTGCCGCCCCACTACCTTGCACCAACATTGGCGGTTCCTGTGGACCCCAAGTTCCCCCTGTCCTCCCAGAAAATACAAATTCAACACCTTGTCTGACACACAACAGCAGCAGCAGCCAGAACTCCTCTACCCGTCTTTCCTCAGTGGGATCCCCAGATTCCCATCTTCCCCATCATCATGACGGCATTAACACTTACTGGACAGCTGTCTTTGATTATGAGGCCACCGCGGACGAGGAGCTGACCTTGCGACGCGGTGACCTATTGGAAGTGCTTTCCAAGGACTCCAAAGTTTCTGGAGATGAGGGATGGTGGACTGGAAAGATCCAAGACAAGGTGGGCATATTCCCTAGTAATTATGTGACCCGACGTGACACCAGCTATCCAGCATTGCCTCCGGGAGGTCTGGTCGGTGGGGAGTCGCCACTGGATATTGATTTCTCGGAGCTGTGCTTGGAGGAAGTGATTGGCGCTGGCGGATTTGGAAAGGTTTATAGGGGTGTGTGGCAAGATGAGGAAGTGGCTGTTAAAGCGGCTCGTCAGGACCCAGACGAGGACATCAGTGCCACGGCAGAGAACGTGAGGCAGGAGGCCAGACTCTTCTGGATGCTCCGACACCGCAACATCATCGCTCTCCGAGGTGTTTGCCTGCAAGAGCCAAATCTTTGCCTGGTTATGGAGTATGCCCGTGGTGGAGCACTTAACCGGGCACTTGCTGGGAAAAACGTGCCTCCTCGGGTACTGGTGAATTGGGCAGTGCAGATTGCGACTGGAATGGACTACTTGCACAACCAGACTTTTGTGCCAATCATCCATCGAGACCTCAAATCCAGTAACAGTGAGTCACGTTTCTTTATTGTTCACTGTTAAAATAAATGTGCTAAATCGTACCTTGTCATCGGGTCAGTACTCCTGAAGGGGCCAACTTTGCACCTTATCTACCCTAAAAGGTCCACATTATTACCTTAGCATAGGATAGCCGCGTTTCCACCGCAGGAACTTTCCCCAGGAACTAGGAACTTTGGGGTGGTACTTGGTGTGTTTACATCACAGGAACCAGGGTCTAAATGAAGTTCTGGGTAAAAATTTACCCCCCAGAAAGTCCCTGCTGGCGAGGTAGTACTTTTTTAGAGTTCAGGAACTTTTTTCGGGGTGGGACTTTTGCGATGAACATGCTGATTGGTTCTCACCACTTCTTACCACTTCGTCCCATCCATCTCACGGTCAATGTCCGGTGATAGCAAACGTCTACTTATCTAGCATTACAAACTTTCTGAATACGGTTTGGGTGCTTGTCTCTTTTCTGCCGTTTTGTTAATTACCTCGTTAGTAAACCAATCGCACACAAAAGCAGCACAGCTTGAATCTCCTCCATACAAAACTCAAAACAAACGCGTAGACTGAGAGGAGCAGTCGCACGCAGTTTAACGTCACTACATAATCTTCCCGCCCCAGTCCGTGGTGTAAACGCAGTAAAAAAAAAACGCAGGGGCAAAAAAAATTCCTATGAAAAAAGTTCCTGGGACAAATAGTTCCTGGTAATTGCGGTGGATGTACCCTTACTGCTATGAACCTTACAAAGGTACAAAGATGTCCCTTTGAGTCACAAACAGTTGTACCCCTAAAGGTACAAATTTTGCTAAAAGGTTCTGAGTGTGTTCTGATGCACTCAACACCAAAATGCTCATACGCAACAATAAATCTGCAATGGGAATTGCACAAAAATCATGGGTTTGGCACTGGTGGAGTGAACAATAGGAATACATATTGTGTGTGGACTTGGAAACAATTTTTCTCCTTTTCGTATAGCTTCTTGTCGTTGCATTGCTTTCTCTTCTTAAGACGAGCTGCTCTGCTCTGGAAAATACTGGACTATTTTTGGTCCTTTGTGCTATTTGCAGCTAAGCGCAGTTGATGTTGTTGTGGGCAGAAAGAAGAGAGTAGCTGAATGGATGAGTATGGATGCATTTTGGAAAATAAACGCTGCACACTAGAAATACTAAGTGTTCAATTTTTGCAGTTTTTTGCAGTAGCAGAGCTTGACAGACCCTCAAGAGAAGATTTAGTAAAGTCTGCTAATCCCTGTCAAATCCATGAAAACAGTCGTCCCATTGCTGCTCCCTCTCTCAGCAATGGGATGCTTGTTTATGGTGCCCCTGTAGACACAGGAGGGGTGAAAGCATTAGCTGTCAGAGTTTAGAGTTTCACTGCTTCTCATTATCCAGGGGCTCTGAGCTCAGGTATCCTCTTCAAACTGTAGGCGTACTTGGAGATTGGCACAGCTGCCGTGGCAACAGAGGCGGATTCCAAGCCCTCCAGCCTCTTCCCAGCTCCCCTCAATTGCACCCTCGACATCCCCCTCCCCCATAGTACAGTCCCCGCTCAACAACACAGTACAGCGGGATTGTGTGTATGGTATAGTGTCCCCTTTAGTGCACCAATGATTGCATTCCTTTACTAGTGTTGGTTTGTCACAAAATTGATCTCTGATTTAGTACCCCTCATAATTGGTGTGTAATTCAACTGGCTTTTGTAAATACATCATATTAGAACAATGATACGAGGAGTCAGGACAAAAGACAAAGACTTTTACATTTGCATGCCAAAATTACTGTAATAGCTGTCTCTCCTTCATGTTGCCTGAAGGCCTAATTTGAACATACTTGGTTCGCTGGTTGTCAGTACCTGAATAACTAGGATAATCTGATTACTGTGACCTCCTTTAAAGTGATGTCACTCTGTGTGTGTGTGTGTGTGAGTTGATAGGCTGGAGACATTGGTCAGTTCATGTCGTTAACTGAGCTCACTCTGGACTTAAGTTACCGTTATTACAGAATGGTCCACAGTCTGGGAAAACAAATGAGAAATGGGGATCAATTGGAAAGGTGACTCGGCTGAGAGTAACGCTAAACCCCTGATCACCTTCCCTTGACACACTCCTCAGGCACGTCTTTCCTGGAACACAGGAATGGCTAATGGCCACTGTCTTGTGCATATCAAATAGTCTTGGCACACATTTTTCCACTTTAAATGAACCCAATTAATATCCCTACACTCAACTTCAATATTATGTTTAAGACCGATATATTAGTCAGACATGTTAATAAGATTAAATTTGACAATTTTGAGATTATCAGCCAGTAGCTGGTCATTCCACCTAATATGTCAGCTGCTAGTTCATGGATTTTATGCATTTGGATTCTCAAATTATGGCAAATCTTGCCAAAAATGTGTCACCATTAAAGGTTACTGAGCTGTTGCCTTGGCTTTTGACTTGCTTAGTTGGGGACATTTACCGGTAATATTCAACAATATTATTGATCTCCCTTACTTAAGGTGGACGATGACGCAATTTTCTTCTAGAAACTTTGTTGTATTGTTTTCAAGTTATCACTGTGAAACTGCTTTGATACAATCTGTATTGTAAAAAGCGCTATATAAATAAAGGTGACTTGACTAGTTAACCATGCCTCTTCAATGACAGGACACGTTTACATACTCAACCGTGGACGTAAAAGTGCAGTCCTGTATTTTTATGACCTTAACACATCCCTTAACAACAGTCTTATATGCACACCTAAAATCTATGTACAGACTACTAGGTTTGTGGTTGTTTTGGACTGATTATCTGTTTTAAAATATTCCCCACAGTGAGGCTGGGCGTTTTTTCTACTCTGACTACAGTTCAGTTATTGGCCATGTGATGTCCATACCATATTAGCAGGTGAATTGCTTGTAAAGGTGTAAAGGAAGACTTGTCAAATTGTGTTTTACAAGCAGTTGTAGAGAAAATGAATCAGGGAGATGTGTCCGAGAATGGCTGAGAACATAGCAACAATGACCCCTTTATCGCACGCCCAAGACAGAGACGGCTCGACAATGACTGGAGTCACTCGCCTGGCTAGAGAAGGGGAGGGTGTATATGAGAAACTGAGCGTCTGGACCATGCACTAGAGTTCATATTGATACAGGGGACAGGAAAAGAGACTAAGGGATGTGTATGAATACATGTGTGGCTATATGTTTATATGTCCTAGACAAGCCCCAGGGTCTGAACTCACACAGGGTCAGTGGTGGGTTATAAGCACCGGGGTCAGAGGGGTACAGGGTTGAGCGACTCGTTTGTCACAAAGGACGGATGAATGGCTGTAGTTCTAATTTTCCTGTTGCTCAATTTGTAGAGCATTGCACAAGGTCATGGGTTCAATTCCTAGAGAACCCACATAAAAAATAAGATGAAAAGATGTATAGCCTAATCGCACTTGCACATGACATTACATCATAAATTATGTACTTACTGTATCTAACTGTGAATAAAATGCTTTATATTGGTATTTTAGTTTGCTAAAAGCAGTGTTAGGGAAAGTTACTTTTAAAAGTACTTTTACTTAGTTACTTTTCGAGTAAAGTAATGTGTTACATTACTTTTGTGTTATTTTTTCTCACCTGTGCTGGGCTTGCTTGCCTGTTTTTTTTAATTACAAAAAAAGTTGGCAAATAAGAGGCTCGCAAAAATGAAGTCGCCTGTACAGTAGAGGGCGCAGCTCAAACAAACCTTTCACTTTTTACTGTTTTTGCTACCTCTCTCACACACACACATAGACTCAGTATTCAGAAGTTTAGCTTTTCAGGCTACAAAAAACTTTTACAAAAGAGGCTTGACAGTTTCACAACGCCACTCTCCTGCCTTTACGACTGCACCCTGCATTCATGCGACACACAATTTTAGGAGTTCCATTAATGAGTAATAGGATACATTCCTTTCCCACTGATTGAAATGAGTCAGGCAGGATGGTGGTAAAAGTGGGGCCATGGACTTTTTGCATTGTTTGGACTCTGGTTAGTGACCATGAGTAATTTTTCTGGCCCTCTACACGTGTTAAACGTTATACACCAATACCATTTTAGAGGCCTTAGGGACAGATTTACTAACAGCTTGCTCCAGTGCGAACCCTCTTTTGGCGTTAAAAAACTTTACTTTTACGCTGAAATTAAAAATTGACGCTGAAAAGGTGTGGACATAGTTAAGGTTTCCGCTCATCAATTTACAGGGATTTCTGCCATTATTTACCTCCAAAAAAGGCATGTCTTAAAGGGATACTCCACTGTTTTTTTTATATTAAACTACGTTATTCCTTTAACTAAGGCGAGTTGATGCATACCTCTGTCGTCTCAATGCGTGCACTCAATCGCTCTGCCGCACGAGACACTTTGATCGCACTTAACGTTAGCTTAGCCCATTTCATTCATTAGGATCCAAGCAAAGACGCGACCAAACACCTCCACGTTTCCCTATTTAAATACAGTTACTCGAGTAGAGTAACTCGACCTAGGATGGTGACACAAAATAAAACGTTGCGCTTTTTTAAGCATGTAAAGTGGAAAACTATAATGTATGGCGGAATACCACAGCAAGTGATTGGGAGCACTTCGACTCGGCGCATATATATCTATGGACTCGGCGCGGTAAAATCACTCCGGAGAGTGAGAGGGGGGAGTGGACTTTTAACGAGTGATGATATTACTGCGCCGAGTCGAAAGTGCTCCCAAGCACTTGCTGTGGTATTCCGCCATACAATATAGTTATCCATTTTACACGCTTAGAAAACCGCAACGTTTTACTTTGTGTCACCGTCCTAGGTCGAGTATCACTAACTGTATTTAAATAGGGAAAACGTGGAGGTGTTTGGTCGCTTCTCTGCTTGGCCCATATTGAATGAACTGGGCTAGTTAAGTGCTATAAAAGTGTCTCGCGCGCCAGAGCGATTGAGACGACAGAGGTATGTATCAACTCGTTTTAGTTAAGGGAATAACATACCCAGACAGCAAACTGACATT